ATGGACGACGAACCTGGACTACGCTTGGATGATGAGAAGATTGGGTACGGTTGTTTTTTGTAATAATTGTGCATTGTAATTGCTTATTGGTAATTTATGGATAATGTGTTAAGTCAATTGTTATATGTTGTATGGAACCACTACTGTTTCTACTGTTTGTGAACCGCTGTGAGTCGCCTTCGGGCTTGAGATACAGCGGTATATAAGCAAAGTAAATAAATAAATAAATAATAAATAAATATATATACAGATATAATACTTACTCATTAAACAAAATAAAAGGACTCGGCTTTTGAGATAAGTGATTCACCAACAATGTCCTTGAGAAGTGGACCCTAAGGGGACATACATTGTGGCTAAAGGTAGTATTGCACTGTGACATGGATTATAAGCCATTCATAACAGAAATATAATATCCATAAAACAAAAATAATACATAATACAGCAAATCTTTGTTGGTCAGTATACTCTGCAATACTCTGCAGTATACTCTGGATGGATGGCATCCTTGAAGTGACTGGACTGACCTTGAGGGAGCTGGGGGTGGTAACGGCCGACAGGGAGCTCTGGCGTGGGCTGGTCCATGAGGTCACGAAGAGTCGGAGACGACTGAACGAATGAACAACAACATACTCTGCAAAGTGTTTTATTCTGTAGCAAGTATAGAATTGAAATATCTCAACCCATTACTAATATAGTAAGTCCATTAGTCAGGTGGTGGTGATGTCATTATCAGTTTAGAATACATTGAGGGAACACCTCCTCTGTTATAAAAAAAAAAGTCATATGAATTGGTGAATTACCTCTGAGGATGCTTGCCATAGATGCAGGCAAAACGTCAGGAGAGAATGCCTCTAGACCATGGCCATATAGCCCGGAAAAACCTACAACAACCCAGTGATTCCAGCCATGAAAGCCTTCGACAATACGTTGAATTGGTGTTGTTTAACCCTTTTGGGTGTTCTGTTTGCAGGGTAAAGATCCAGAAGAATTCCCTTTGTAGAAGTTTAGTTTGGAAATCGGTGTCTCTGGGTGGAGTGACTACCTCTAAAACCTGTACTCGAAATGATTCAGGGCTGTGGTCCAAGTCTAGAAAACATTTGTATAAAATAGAATCAGTGGATTGATTCCTGATTTTACTTTTGTGCTCAATGATCCTGAGCCTGACTTCTCTGCTTGTTTGACCAACGTAAATCAATGAGCAGGGACATGTCATGGCATATACTACACTTGCAGTGGAGAAAGTAGCAAAGTGTTGATTCTGTATTTTATTTATTTATTTATTTCGGGTACTTTTACCCCGCCCTTCTCTACCCCCCAAGGAGGACTCAGGGTGGAATTAGTGTGCTGGTTTGGTCTCCACAGTTTCAGGGGAACCCATTTTTCGTTTCAGTGCTTCTCACAAGAGCCATGACAGGTGCTGACGACTGCTGGACAGACCACAGGCTAATCCGATCCATGATGGTTATCAAGATCGTCCCCTAACGCAGACTCCAAGGAAGAAAACAAGGTGCAAAACAAACACCCAAGCCCTCCAGGAGCCCTCCAAACAACACTCAAGGATCATCTACACAACACCACACAAGAGTCCAGAGTGTCCTCAAACAGTTTATTGCAAAAATACAGAAAAATATATGAAAAAAGCAGGAATAAAGAAAGAAGAGATCTGATCCAAAAAAAGGCTTAGTGCTAGAAAACACCCGCCCGGGAATCTAAATGCCTCGTGCAAATCCCAAGGTAACACAGTACACGAATAGCCAAAAAAGCACAAGTACATCATAAATCCATACACAAAAGGTGTTCTAAGAAAGCTTGAGCAGGAATCATAGAACAAGAACATAGAACCTCCAGGATAATTGAATCCAAACCCAGGACTTGACACAGGAATCAAAGATCTCAGGCCTAGCTTCTCCCTCGAAAGCCAACGTTGCCTTAACTGTTTCCAAGGTAAACAACAGGCTATTAAATAACACTCATGAAACAATCCTGTTTCCCACACATTTTCCCTATTTCTTTCCCACATATGGAGCCGGTTCTCAGCTCTGAACTTTCTGTTTCTATTAACTCATCACTGAACTCCTTCTCTAACGATGTTTCTTCTGGCTCCACTGGCAAACCTTGGAGATCTACACTCTGTGAGCCAGTTTCATTGTCCTGACCTGAATCATCAACACTTTGAACTTGGCCTGAATCTTTGTTTGTTTATTTATTTACTACATTTATATTCCGCCCCTCTCAGCCCACAGTATCAAAGACATAAAATACAATTTAAAAACAATCAATTTAAATATAAAACCAAGTAAAACAATCAATACTAATAAAAATTTATATCAATTTGAGTCTCCTAATTAAAAGCGTTATCCAGTAGCATCGTTGAGTCGTTCTGTTTTTCTCCATGTCTGTTATGTTGTATCTGCAAACGTTTGCTCAAAGAGCCACGTCTTGACTGGCTTTCACAATGTTAATAGGGAAGGGGCCGATCTAATATCCCTGGGGAGGGCGTTCCATAGCCGAGGGGCCACCACTGAGAAGGCCCTGTCTCTCGTCCCTGCCAGCCGTACTTGTGACGAAGACGGGATCAAGAGCAAGGCCTCTCCAGACGATCTTAAAGTCCTGGAGGGGGTTCATAAAGGGAGATGCATTCAGACAGATAAGTTGGGCCAGAACCGTTTAGGGCTTTGTAGGCTAAAGCCAGCACTTTGTGTTGTGTCCAGTAGCAGACTGGCAGCCAGTGGAGCTGGCGCAACTGAGGAGTTGTGTGCTCCCTGAGCGCCGTTCCTGTTAGCAACCTGGCTGCCGCTCGCTGGACCATCTGGAGCTTCCGGACAGTCTTCAAAGGCAACCCCACATAGAGTGTTGCAGTAGTCTATACAGGATGTAACCAGAGTGTGGACTACCGTGGCCAAGTCTGACTTCCCAAGATACGGGCACAGCTGGCGCACAAGTTTTTTGTGCGAAGACTTCCCTGGCCACCGCCGAAACCTGGGGTTCAAGGCTCTGCGATGAGTCCAGGATCACACCCAAGCTGCGAAGCTGCGTCTTCAGGGGGAGTGTGACCCCGTCAAGCACAGGCTTCATCACCCTGAACCTCAGGAAATCCCACAATCCCTTCTGATCCATCAGTGAACCCATCAGCCCCTGGCTGAACTATAATTGTAGAAACCTAAGCTAACCCCTTCAATACAGGGGAGAAAAGATGGGAGAGAGTCTGCCGTGCTTCCATGTTTTGCATGAGGGGGCTTCCCCTTGGGCTGCAAGGACCTCCTGCTTCCGTCCCATATGGAGAGCAAGGGATTCTGGGAAGGGAGAAGAAGCCCTTTGCTGGCCTTGGACCGCCTGCCTCTTGCCCCCCTTTTCTTGGGTGGAACCCTGTCCCACTCTCCCCCCTTTTCTTGGGTGGAACCCTGCCCCACTCTCCAGCCCCCTTTTCTCTCTCTCTAAGGTTCCCATGCCCAGATCTCTTTCCTTCCACCAAATAACTGAGTCCATCCTTTCCCTCTTTCAAGGTCTCCCCCCCCCCCAATATCTCTCCTTGAGGTTATGGACTATCTTCCTGACCCCCAAGTGAGGCAGAGAAAGGGTCCAAAGGGCAGGAAAAGAGGCTGCACTGAGATTTCAGAAAAAAGAAGAGCTCTTTCCCAGGGGAAGAACAAGATTCTGTTGGAGTCTCCTTCCTTCCTTCTGGAGAGTCTGAAGAAAGAGGTTGTATGGTCACCTGTGGAGAGGGCTTGGATGGTGCCTTGCAGGGGCTGAACTGGATGGCCCCTGGGGTCTCTTTTGCATCCTTCCAGGCCAAGACCAGGTTTGCATAGCCCTTCCTTTGGGTGGTCTTCCAAGAGCAGGGCCTCCCCAGATGGTTCCTAGAAGACAAGCTCCTCTCCCCTCCCCTGCCCCCCACCCCCACCCCAGGAGGAGACCTCTCCCATGAAAAGCCTCCTTTGGGGCCCTTCTCTCCCCCCCCTGCCCCAAAGCCCCCCTTCAAGACCACCCTCTCTCCCTCCTTCCTCGGTGGGTTTCTGGAGGCAGGAAATGGAGCGGAATAGACACAGAGCGAGGTCAGGAGGAGGAAGGCCTTCTTCTCCCCACGGATGAGGTTTCCTTCTGGGCCTTTCCCTAGGCCCTTCCACACAGCCATCTAACCCAGAAGATCAAGGCACAAAATCCCACAACTGGGATAGCTGAGTTCACACTGCCAGATATTCCCGTTCAAAGCAGATAATATGGATTAATTCAGCTGTGTTTGAACCCCCAAAATGGGATAAAGGCTGATGATATTCAGACCCACCTCTGCTCACCCAGGGCCCTTTTCTGGGTGGCCCCTCTTCACAAGAGAGCCAGCACATTCCTGCCATTCCTTAGGCCTTTGGGACCAGGGAGGGGAGGGAGGGAGGGAGGGAGGGAGGGAGGAAGGGAGGGGAGGGGAGGGAGGGAGGGAGGGAGGAAGGACAGGAAGGAAGGAAGGAAGGAAGGAAGGAGAGGAAGGAAGGAAGGAAGGAAGGAAGGAAGGAAGGAAGGAAGGAAGGAAGGAAGGAAGGAAGGGGGGTCCCACCCCAGGAGACACCCCCTCCCTCTCTCCTGGGGCCTGAGCTGCTGGGGCTTCATACCCAAAATGGAAGCCTCTTTGACATCTGCAACAGGGTCCGCTCTTCTCCGCCTCACGTCCAACTGGGCGTCCTCGCTGGAGAACAGGTCTCCCCCCTCCCCAGAGGTTTTTCTAGTCTCACAGAATCCGGGCTTCCTTCCCAAGCAGACCGCCCTCCCTCTGCCCCTTCCTTCCCCCCCTTTCCTTGTGGCTGGATATGTTCTCACCAGGCTCTATGTCACGAGCTGCATCACACTCCAGGGACATTGAGTATGGAAACACACCACAATTTCAGAGAACAACTGATCTCCGTTTCCTCCCTTCGTCCATCTGGAATGCGGAGTTTCCTTCCTCCCAAAGGCCAGGGCGCCACTCATGAGGCCAGAGTCCCCCCTCGTCCCCTCCGAACTGAAGAAGGGAGGTCTCATCTTGTCAGGAAAGAGTGAATTTAAAATCCCACTGTTTCTTGACAATGACCAATTTTTTCTCCTAAATCAACAGCATGAGTTCCTTGGTATCTGTCACTTTGCAGATCTTCATCAGCCAGTTCACTTGACTTGGGACAACTTCTTCCTTCCATCTCTGAGGATATAGCATTCTTGCTGCAAGTATCACATATTTTCGCAATCTTTTGAATTTTCTTTCTAGAAGACCATCCAGCATTAAGAAACATATTCCTTCCGTGCATGTAGAGGTTTCTCCCCAGTGTGATTCCTGTGGTGTGAATATAGACTTCTACTTTCACTGGAGCTTTGTCATCACTCCAGGAATTTATAGGCTTTATCCCCAGTGTGAGTCCTTTGATGTCTCTTTAGATCTCCACTCCGAGTGAAGCCCTGTCCGCATTCCTGGCATTTATAGGGTTTCTCCCCAGTGTGGGTCCTTTGATGTGAACATAGATTTCCAATTTGAGCAAAGCTCTGTCCACACTCTTGGCATTTATAGTGTTTCTCCTCAGTGTGAATCCTGTGGTGTGAACATAGATTTGCACTAGAACTGTAGTCTTTCTACACTGCAGGCATTTATAAGGTTTCCCCCAATTTGCATCCTTTGATGTATATGTAGATTGGGTTTTTGAGTGAAGCTCTCTCCCCACTAAGGGCATGAATAGGGTTTTGCTCCAGTGTGAGTCCTTTCATGTGAATGTAGATTTCCACTATGAGCAAAGCTCTCTCCACACTCCTGGAATTTATAGGGTTTCTCCACGGTGTGAGTTCTTTGATGTCTATGTAGATTTCCAATCTGAGCGAAGGTCTGTCCACACTCTGGGCATTTATAGGGTTTCTCCCCAGTGTGAGTCCTCTGATGTTTCTTTAGATCTCCACTCCCAATGAAACTCTGTCCACACTCTGGGCATTTATAGGGTTTCTCCCCAGTGTGAGTCCTCTGATGACTCAGTAGATCTCCACTCTCAGTGAAACTCTGTCCGCACTGCAGGCATTTATAGGGTCTCTCCCCAGTGTGAGTCCTTTGATGTCTACGTAGTTTTGCAGTCACAGTGAAGCTCTTTCCACACTCCAGGCATTCAAAGGGTTTCTCCCCAGTGTGAGTCATTTGATGTGAATGTAGAGATCCTTTCTTACTGAAGCTCTGTCCACACTCCAGGCATTTATAGGGTTTCTCCCCAGTGTGAGTCCTTTCATGTGAACGTAGAGTTGAAACTTGAGCGAAGCTCTGTCCACACTCTAGGCATTTATAGGGTTTCTCCCCAGTGTGAGTTCTTTGATGTTTACGTAAATTTCCAATCTGAGCAAAGCTCTTTTCACACTCTGGGCATTTATAGGGTTTCTCCCCAGTGTGTGTCCTCTGATGTCTCTTTAGATCTCCACTCCCTGTGAAGCTTTGTCCGCATTCCAGACATGTATAGGGTTTCTCCCCAGTGTGAGTCTTCTGATGTCTCTGTAGATCTCCACTCTCAGTGAAGCCCTGTCCGCATTCCAGGCATTTATAGGGTTTCTCCCCAACGTGAGTCCATTGATGTCTACGTAGTTTTGCAGTCTGAGTGAAGCTCTGTCCACACTCCAGGCATTCAAAGGGTTTCTCCCCAGTGTGAGTCCTTTGATGTGAACGTAGAGTTGAAATCTGAGCGAAGCTCTGTCCACACTCCTGGCATTTATAGGGTTTCTCTCCAGTGTGAGTTCTTTGATGTTTACGTAGACTTCCAATCTGAGCGAAGCTCTGTCCACACGCCAGGCATTTATAGGGTTTCTCCCCAGTGTGAGTCCTCTGGTGTCTCTTTAGATCTCCACTCCCAGTGAAGCTCTGTCCACATTCCAGGCATATATAGGGTTTCTCTCCAGTGTGAGTCCTTTTATGTGAACGTAGATTTCCACTCCTAGTAAAGCTCTGTCCACATTCTAGGCATTTAAAGGGTTTGTCCCCAGTGTGAGTCCTTTGATGCAAAAGTAGACTTGTACTCTTAGCGAAACAGTGTCCACACTCCAGGCAAATATAGGGTTTCTCTCCAGCATGAATCGATTGGTGATTATACAGACCTGAACTATGAGTGAAGCTCATTCCGCACTCTGGGCATTTAAAGGGTTTCTCTCCAGTGTGAATCCTTTGATGATTATACAGAGTGGAAGTATGACTGAAGCACATTCCGCACTCTGGGCATTTATAGGGTTTCTCCCCAGTGTGAGTCCTTTGATGTTTACGTAAGTGTCCACTCTCAGTAAAGCTCTGTCCACATTCCTGGCATTTATAGGGTTTCTCCCCACTGTGAATCCTTTGATGTGAGCGTAGACTTCCACCCTGAGTGAAGCTCTTTCCACACTCAAGACATGTATGGGGTTTCTTCTCCATGTTGACAGTTATGTATAGAATTATTGCAATCTGAACACTTGAGTCTTCCCTTTTTCTTTCTGATCCAAAGTGAGTTCCACAAAATCAGCACCTCGAGAGGGTTTCTTCTTCCGATGGGATTTCTTTCATTATTGCACTTTGGTTTCCAAACTCCACTAGATAGTGGTGTTTTCTTCTCATGCCAGAGGTGACTTCATGGGGTCTTCATTTCCCTGTTCAAGAAAGAAGCAGAAAATTAAAAAAAAAAAGCTGCAAGCCTCCTTTATTTCCAAGATTAGTCTCTTTTCCCTTCATGGCTCATGCTGCAAATGGGAATACCAAGAACTGGTGGTGGGAAGGGTCTCACGTTCAGACACAGAAACAAGCAAAGGGGATCACAGATTTATAAACACGAAGGGATGGATTCAGAAGGAAAGAAGAAAAGATGGGAGGGGGGATGAAAATAATGAATGATGGATTGAAGAAAAAGGGACCATTGTTGGCTTGTTGGTTCCTTTTTTGGTGAAAGAAACATAAGGCAGACACTCAGAACCACCATAGATGATGCGTCATTCACTCTGAATAATTGGTTTCCATGAATTAACAGGGCCGGAGGTTTGGCACAGCTGGTAAATCATCAGCAATTATAAGATCTATCAACCAAAAGGTTGCAAGTTCAAAGCCCCCGGTTGGCGTGAGCTGCCAACTGTCAGTCCTAGCTCATTGTTTACCTAAGCAATTCGAAAACAGCTTTAGCTGTGATTAGAGAAATTAGGTACCACTAAAAGTGGGGGAGGTTTTTTACGACGCCGTAAAGAAGGAAGATCAGAGAATGGTGGGTGACCAAAAGGAAGGAGGAAGTCCTGACGGCTCTTCATCATAGAGGATGGAGCCACAGGACCCCCTGGACTCAAGCCCAACCTTCCTTGGCACCTGCTGTTCTGTCCTGTCTGTGTATTGTCTATACAAAGCGGCATTGAATGTTTGCCGTGTGTGTGTACTGTGATCCGCCCTGAGTCCCCTTCGGGGTGTGAAGGGCGTTATATAAATAAAGTATTATTATTATTATTATTATTATTATTATTATTATTATTATTATTAAAATATTAAGACACAATATTCCTTTATTGATTACACTGTTCAACGGAGAAAAAGTTGCAGGCCTGAAAATAGCTGTTCTTTTATGATTTTGGGGTGCCGAAAACGAAAATGACATTTAAAAATATATATTGGCTCTAGTTTTTATGATATAAGCAATCACGTGATCACGTATGGTTGAAAAAATGCATGTTGTGACTTACACTATGGAAGATTCTAGAATACTCTAGAAAGTTTGATGACGCCGTATGAGTGCCGTGTGCCAGAAAAGCCAGAAAGCCCTCTCTATCTAAGGCCAGACTTTTGAACGGGAGGGTCAGTCAGTTGAAGACGGAGGCAGTCTCGTTCAACATCGTTTGGCATTGTTCTTTTGACTGTAGTGATGCCTCTTCGCACGTGTGTCAATAAATCAGATAATTTCTGCTATGTTTGCGGCGAAGTTACTTTTGAATCACAAAAGAGACGAATAACAGCAGTGATTAGGAAAGTCTACAAGTTGTATTTTGAGTGCGAAATAGGAGACCAAGACAAAAGTTTCTCTTGGCAGGTGATGTCTGTACATCACTATCCCGTGACCGTCAGAAAGACCTTCTTCCACTCTTTGACCAGGAAGGCGATATTGCCGTTTGTAAGAATATCTGCAAATTAATGTCGGCCCTCAACATAAATTATAATCCCGAAGAGTGGAGGTTATTTGTTGACGCTTCCAAAACAAGTCTTAAAGCTGTATGACTGCATAATGGGAATCAGTTACCATCTATTATTTACTTTGCTTCTATACCGCTGTATCTCAAGCCCGAAGGCGACTCACAGCGGTTCACAAACAGTAGAAACAGTAGAAACAGCAGTGGTTCCATACAACATATAACAATTGACTTAACACATTATCCATAAATTACCAATAAGCAATTACAATGCACAATTATTACAAAAAACAACCGTACCCAATCTTCTCATCATCCAAGCGTAGTCCAGGTTCGTCGTCCATTGTTCTATTCCTATGTTCCATTACCAGATTGCACTAAATTACTCAAACGCCTGCACAAACATCCAGGTCTTCACCTTTTTGCGGAATACCATTAGAGATGGTGCTAGTCTAATGTCCGTAGGAAGGGCGTTCCACAGCCGAGGAGCCACCACTGAGAAGGCCCTATCTCTCGTCCCCGCCAGGCGTGCTTGTGAAGCCGGCGGGACCGAGAGCAGGGCCTCCCCAGATGATCTTAATGTCCTAACTGGTTCATAGGCAGAGATGCGGTCAGATAGTAGCTTGGGCCAGAACCGTTTAGGGCTTTAAAGGCCAACGCCAGCACTTTGAATTCAGCCCGGTAGCAGATCGGTAGCCAGTGGAGTTGGCGCAACAGGGGGGTTGTATGCTCCCTGCGCTCCGCTCCTGTTAAAATCATGGCTGCCGAGCGTTGGACTGGTTGGAGCTTCCGAGCTGTCTTCAAAGGCAACCCCACGTAGAGAGCGTTGCAGTTGCTATTCCAGTTGCTTATGCAGTTGCAATGAAAGAAACATATGAAAACCTGAAAGAGCTTCTAAGATGCATCAACTACGATCAACATCAATGGTCAGTCTGTTGTGACCTAAAAGTTGTTGCTATCTTACTTGGTCTTCAGGGTGGATATACTAAGTATTGTTGTTTTTTATGTGACTGGGACAGTCGTGCCAGAGAATTGCATTACATCAAAAGAGACTGGCCGCTAAGGCAGACATTGCAGCCGGGGAGTAAAAATGTAAAACATCCAGCACTTATAAACAGCGACAAGATCATATTACCTCCATTACACATAAAGCTGGGATTAATGAAAAACTTTGTCAAGCCAATGGATAAGAATAAACCAGCTTTTATGTACCTGAAAGGTCAATTTCCATCAATTAGTGCCGCAAAAATAAATGAAGGAATAAACAGTTTCCCCCCAGGAAAATCAGAGCTGGAGAACATTTTGGAGAACGTTTTTGGAGAATGGGAAGAAAGGACAAATGTCCAGATTATGCAGATACACTTTTAGAACACAACTCAGGAGGCAATATAATAAAACAGCAATGATTTCATGGGCTAAAGATTTAGAGAAAATACTGAACTGGAAAAATGGGAATATTTATAGAAAAGTGGTTAGATTTTCAATAGCTGGGTCCATCAGAGAAAACATGAAGAACATGTTCTATAGAAGCTATGTAACTCACAAAGGGACAAGCAAAATAGATAAATCCCATTTGGGCGAGTCCTGGAAATGTAAAATACATAAAGGCACCTCCTTCCACGCTTGGTGGACCTGTGGGCTGGTACAAGCTTTCTGGGGAAAGGTAACCAAGGAAACAAACAAAGGGATTACTAAAAAGGTTAAGAGAAACCCAGAAATGGTTGTTGTTGTTGTTGCTATTATTATTAATTATTATTATTTTGAGCATTTATACCCCATCCTTCTCACCTCCGAAGAGGGACTCAGGGCAGCTTACAAGAGGAAGCCATTAGATGCCAACACAATACATTAAAAACTACAGTTACAACTAAACAATAATTAAAACAATGATAAACAATCAGGCATCTAATCACCTGTCAACAAAAGATTGCCCCAGGCACTGCCAGGCCATCAAATGCTAATCAAGGTGGTCAGTTGAAACATTCACACCTAGCTCCAGCAGACAAGAGTTCTTTGTCCCACCCTGGTCATTCCAGATATATAAACCCTTTTTCCTAGTTCCAACAGACCTCACTACCTCTGAGGATGCTTGCCATAGATGCAGGCGAAACGTCAGGAGAGAATGCCTCTAGAACATGGCCATATAGCCCGAAAAAACCTACAACAACCCAATGATAAACAATTTGATTTAAAAACAGTTTGCCAGTCCAAAATCATAGAATCATAGAGTTGGAAGAGTCCTCATGGGCCATCCAGTCCAACCCCATTCTGCCAAGAAGCAGGAATAATATGGGTCCGGATCAATCCACTGCCGCCACTTAAAACACTTTAAAAAGTTGCCCCATCTCTTGTTCAAATGCTTCATCCCACAGCCAGGTATTGAGTTTTTTTTTTACGAAAGGTCAGGAGGGAGGTGACAGACCTAATTTCATTTGGGAGGGGGTTCCACAGCTGAGGAGCCACCACAGAGAAGGCCCTGTCTCTCATCCCCACCAATTGCGCCTGCCAAGGTGGTGGGACCGAGAACAGGGCCTCCCTCGATGATCCTATCGTCCTTGGTGGTTCAGAGAGAGAGATACCTTCTGGCAAGTAAACTGGGCCAGAACAAGTTAGGGATTTGTAGGCTAAAGCCAGCACTTTGAATTGTGCTCAGCAGCAGATAGGCAGCCAGTGGAGCTGGCGTAACAGGGGGGTTGTATGTTCCCTGTACCCCACTCCACTAGCTGGAGTTTCCGAGCAGTCTTCAAAGGCAACTCCATGTAGAGTGCATTGCAGTAATCTATTTGGGATGTAAAGGGAGCGTGAAATACCGTGGCCAAGTCAGATTTCCCAAGATATGGGTGCAGCAGCTGGTTTTAATTGTGCAAAAGCTCCCCGGGGCGCCGCTGAGATCTGGGGTTCCAAGCTGAGCGATGAGTCCATGAGGACTCTCAAGCTGCGACCCTGTCCCTTCGGGGGAGTGGGAGCCCATCCAGCACAGGCTGTAACCCTACACCCTGTTTGGCCTTGAGACTGACCAGGAGGACCTCTGTCTTGTCTGGGTTCAATTTCAATATATTTGCTCTCTTCCAGCCCATTACAACTGCCAGACATCAGTTCAGGACCTGGACAGCCTCCTCAGTAGCAGGTTCTTGAGAGACACTTGCTCAGCCCCACGGCCATTGTTCCGTGGGGTCCCGCAGTACTGTCTCCCATATTGTTTGACATCTACATGAAGCCATTGGGGGAGATTATCCGGAGTTTTGGAGTTTGATGTCACCTGCACGCAGATGATGTCCAGCTCTGCGTGCAGGTGACATCAAACTCCAAAACTCCGGATAATCTCCCCCAACGGCTTCATGTAGATGTCAAACAATATGGGAGACAGTATTGAGCCCTGCGGGACCCCACGGAACAGTGGCCGTGGGGCTGAGCAAGTGTCTCTCAAGAACACCTTCGGGGAACAACCCTCGAGGAAGGACTGGAGCTCCGGCAGGACAGGAATAACAATA